GCGTCTGACCGTCATCTCGAGACTCTGGACTGATCTGTGTGTGTGTGTGTGTGTGTGTGTAGGTGTGAGCGTCTGACCGTCATCTCGAGACTCTTGACTGATCTGTGTGTGTGTGTGTGTAGGTGTGTGTGTGTGTGTGTGTGTGTGTGTGTGTGTGTGCAGGTGTGAGCGTCTGACCGTCATCTCGAGACTCTGGACTGATCTGTGTGTGTGTGTGTGTGTGTGTGTGTAGGTGTGAGCGTCTGACCGTCATCTCGAGACTCTTGACTGATCTGTGTGTGTGTGTGTGTGTGTGTGTGTGTGTGTGTGTGTGTGTGTGTGTGTGTGTGTGTGTGTGCAGGTGTGAGCGTCTGACCGTCATCTCGAGACTCTTGACTGATCTGTGTGTGTGTGTGTGTGTGTAGGTGTGAGCGTCTGACCGTCATCTCGAGACTCTGGACTGATCTGTGTGTGTGTGTGTGTGTGTGTGCAGGTGTGAGCGTCTGACCGTCATCTCGAGACTCTGGACTGATCTGTGTGTGTGTGTGTGTGTGTGTGCAGGTGTGAGCGTCTGACCGTCATCTCGAGACTCTGGACTGATCTGTGTGTGTGTGTGTGTGTGTGTGTAGGTGTGAGCGTCTGACCGTCATCTCGAGACTCTGGACTGATCTGTGTGTGTGTGTGTGTGTGTGTGTGTGTGTGTGTGTGTGTGTGTGTGTGTGTGTGTGCAGGTGTGAGCGTCTGACCGTCATCTCGAGACTCTGGACTGATCTGTGTGTGTGTGTGTGTGTGTGTGTGCAGGTGTGAGCGTCTGACCGTCATCTCGAGACTCTGGACTGATCTGTGTGTGTGTGTGTGTGTGTGTGTGTGTGTGTAGGTGTGAGCGTCTGACCGTCATCTCGAGACTCTGGACTGATCTGTGTGTGTGTGTGTGTGTGTGTGTGCAGGTGTGAGCGTCTGACCGTCATCTCGAGACTCTGGACTGATCTGTGTGTGTGTGTGTGTGTGTGTGCAGGTGTGAGCGTCTGACCGTCATCTCAAGACTCTGGACTGATCTGTGTGTGTGTGTGTGTGTGTGTGTAGGTGTGAGCGTCTGACCGTCATCTCGAGACTCTGGACTGATCTGTGTGTGTGTGTGTGTGTGTGTGTGTGTGTGTGTAGGTGTGAGCGTCTGACCGTCATCTCGAGACTCTTGACTGATCTGTGTGTGTGTGTGTGTGTGTGTGTGTGTGAGCGTCTGACCGGGATCACGAGACTCTGGACTGATCTGTGTGTGTGTGTGTGTGTGTGTGTGTGTGCAGGTGTGAGCGTCTGACCGTCATCTCGAGACTCTTGACTGATCTGTGTGTGTGTGTAGGTGTGAGCGTCTGACCGTCATCTCGAGACTCTTGACTGATCTGTGTGTGTGTGTGTGTGTGTGTGTGTGTGTGTGTAGGTGTGAGCGTCTGACCGTCATCTCGAGACTCTGGACTGATCTGTGTGTGTGTGTGTGTGTGTGTGCAGGTGTGAGCGTCTGACCGTCATCTCGAGACTCTTGACTGATCTGTGTGTGTGTGTGTGTGTGTGTGTGTAGGTGTGAGCGTCTGACCGGGATCACGAGACTCTGGACTGATCTGTGTGTGTGTGTGTGTGTGTGTGTGTGCAGGTGTGAGCGTCTGACCGTCATCTCGAGACTCTTGACTGATCTGTGTGTGTGTGTGTGTGTGTGTGTAGGTGTGAGCGTCTGACCGGGATCACGAGACTCTGGACTGATCTGTGTGTGTGTGTGTGTGTGTGTGTGTGCAGGTGTGAGCGTCTGACCGTCATCTCGAGACTCTTGACTGATCTGTGTGTGTGTGTGTGTGTGTGTAGGTGTGAGCGTCTGACCGTCATCTCGAGACTCTGGACTGATCTGTGTGTGTGTGTGTGTGTGTGTGTGTGTGTGTGTGTGTGTGTGTGTGTGTGTGTGCAGGTGTGAGCGTCTGACCGTCATCTCGCGACTCTGGACTGATCTGTGTGTGTGTGTGTGTGTGTGTGTGTGTGTGTGTGTGTGTGTGTGTGTGTGTGTGTGTGTGTGTAGGTGTGAGCGTCTGACCGTCATCTCGAGACTCTGGACTGATCTGTGTGTGTGTGTGTGTGTGTGTGTGTGTGTGTAGGTGTGAGCGTCTGACCGTCATCTCGAGACTCTGGACTGATCTGTGTGTGTGTGTGTGCAGGTGTGAGCGTCTGACCGTCATCTCGAGACTCTGGACTGATCTGTGTGTGTGTGTGTGTGTGTGTGTGTGTGTGCAGGTGTGAGCGTCTGACCGGCATCACGTGACTCTGGACTGATCTGTGTGTGTGTGTGTGTGTGTGTGTGTGTGTGTGTGTGCAGGTGTGAGCGTCTGACCGTCATCTCGAGACTCTGGACTGATCTGTGTGTGTGTGTGTGTGTGTGTGTGTGTGTGTGTGTGTGTGTGTGTGCAGGTGTGAGCGTCTGACCGTCATCTCGTGACTCTGGACTGATCTGTGTGTGTGTGTGTGTGTGTGTGTGTGTGTGTGTGTGTGTGTGTGCAGGTGTGAGCGTCTGACCGTCATCTCGTGACTCTGGACTGATCTGTGTGTGTGTGTGTGTGTGTGTGTGCAGGTGTGAGCGTCTGACCGGCATCTCGTGACTCTGGACTGATCTGTGTGTGTGTGTGTGTGTGTGTGTGTGTGTGTGCAGGTGTGAGCGTCCTGATGCGGCTGCTGGAAGCCTCCTCTGATGAGAACCAGCCCGGTCTCTCAGTGCTTCTGTGTGAGATCCTGAGCGCTGTGTTCCTCAGCCTGTTCGTCCACGGCTTGGCCACACACTCCACACACGAGCTGCTCCGCATCGTCGCGCACCCGCTCAACGCTAAGCTCTGGGTCGCCGTGTTCGGCGGCGGCGCTCGAGTTCCCGTGCCGGAGAAACCCACATCACCCACAGGTGCTGCTCTCTTCTGTGTTTGTCTCCATTAAAGGGATAGTTCACCCAAAATTTAAAATTAGCCCATGATTTACTCGCCCTCAAGCCATCCTAGGTGTATATGACATTCTTTCAGACGAATACAAGACGAAAAAAATGTCCTGGCTTTTCCAAGCTTTTTAATGGCAGTGAAAGTCCATAAAGTGCATCTATCCATCATAAAAGTGCATCTATCCATCATAAAAGTGCATCTATCCATCATAAAAGTGCATCTGTCCATCATAAAAGTGCATCTATCTATCATAAAAGTACATCTATCCATCATAAAAGTGCATCTGTCCATCATAAAAGTGCATCTGTCCATCATAAAAGTGCATCTATCCATCATAAAAGTGCATCTATCCATCATAAAAGTCCATCTATCCATCATAAAAGTGCATCTATCCATCATAAAAGTGCATCTGTCCATCATAAAAGTGCATCTGTCCATCATAAAAGTCCATCTATCCATCATAAAAGTGCATCTGTCCATCATAAAAGTGCATCTGTCCATCATAAAAGTCCATCTATCCATCATAAAAGTGCATCTGTCCATCATAAAAGTGCATCTATCTATCATAAAAGTGCATCTATCCATCATAAAAGTGCATCTGTCCATCATAAAAGTGCATCTGTCCATCATAAAAGTGCATCTATCCATCATAAAAGTGCATCTGTCCATCATAAAAGTGCATCTGTCCATCATAAAAGTCCATCTGTCCATCATAAAAGTCCATCTATCCATCATAAAAGTGCATCTGTCCATCATAAAAGTGCATCTATCTATCATAAAAGTGCATCTATCCATCATAAAAGTGCATCTGTCCATCATAAAAGTGCATCTGTCCATCATAAAAGTGCATCTATTCATCATAAAAGTGCATCTATCCATCATAAAAGTGCATCTGTCCATCATAAAAGTGCATCTGTCCATCATAAAAGTGCATCTGTCCATCATAAAAGTGCATCTATTCATCATAAAAGTGCATCTATTCATCATAAAAGTGCATCTATTCATCATAAAAGTGCATCTATCCATCATAAAAGTGCATCTATCCATCATAAAAGTGCATCTGTCCATCATAAAAGTGCATCTGTCCATCATAAAAGTGCATCTGTCCATCATAAAAGTGCATCTATTCATCATAAAAGTGCATCTATTCATCATAAAAGTGCATCTATTCATCATAAAAGTGCATCTATCCATCATAAAAGTGCATCTATCCATCATAAAAGTGCATCTGTCCATCATAAAAGTGCATCTATCCAGCCAGGACATTTTTAATATAACTCTGATTGTGTTCGTCTGAAAGAAGAATGTCATATACAGCTAGGATGGCTTCAGGGTGAGTAAATCATGGGCTAATTTAAATTTTTGGGTGAACTGTCCCTTTAAAGTGCTCCTATTATGCTTTCTGGGATATGACCTGTTATATAGTGTGTAATAAAGATGTTTGTGAGTGTAAAAGCATTCAGTCTCACTTCCTGCTGAACCGGTGTAGGTTTGTAACTAATTTGCATAATGCCTGCCTCTAGTCTTGATTGGCTGAGCAGCGTCTCTTAGCTCCGCCCTCAAACACTGTAGTGTCTCTGAGACTGGGAGAGTTCGGCTCGTGTCGAGAAGACGCTGTTTTCTGAGATTGAGACGGTGAAACCCTCGCCATCGTTACTGTGCGAATCACTGTGATCAAGAGCTGAGATTCAGATATGATAATGAGCGTTTGCTTTCTGACCAATCACAGCAGAGTAGCTCTCAGAGAGGCGGAGCTTAGAGACTGAATCCTCGATGGATGCGTTTCAGACACTGAGAGACAGAGCTGATGCTGTAATGGAGATTATGAGGACATTACATTATGTTTGACCTTAGATGCATGTGAACCTGTTGTAGGAGACTCTAAAACTAAATAAAGGAACCTTTATAACAGCATAATAGGGGTACTTTGAAAAGAGCAGTGCATGTTTTTAATTGTTTTATGTGCAGTCTGATCACTTAGTAGGTCTTATTGATTCCTGAAGGAAAGAATCTACTATTAACAGTATTTTATTTATTATTGTTTATCAATTCAAAAACCCCAGATGGCGATGATCACGTTACGATTTTCAGTGTTGAGCTCCAGTGTTATTAAAGGGTTTTGCTGTGTTGCTCACTAAAGCTACTGACGCTCGTGATCCAGTGGACGATGCGGAGCGCCAGCAGAGGCGCTTCAGGATTCCCTCATCCCGCAGTAACTCCCGAGAGACTCCCGACGCTCCCGACGCTCCCAGACCCGCGACGCAGCCGCAAAGAGAGCGCTTCATCCCGCCGGAGCTCAGCATCTGGGACTACTTCATCGCAAAGGTGTGTGCTTAAATCTTCGGCTTCCAGTAATCTGATATCTTGCAGATGTTTTCATTAGGGAGGGGCATTTTCGAAAATATTATATTTGAATATTTGGGATCATAAAAATCGAATATTAGAATATTTGTTTATTTAAATGAGAAAGACGTTATTTTTCAAGATTTTTTAAAAAAAATTCTCCATTTCTTAACAAGCTTACTATTAGGTAATAAACACCACAAGCTCACGTTATATCTTAAGGTTTACTTTTAGTTGAAAACATTAAATAATATGTGTAAACAAAAAATATAAAGGATAAAAGTATCTAAGCTCAAGCAGCACTAACGGAGTAAAGCGCTAATAAAGCAGACTGTGCAGTTATCGTACAGAACGTGCATATACACTCGAGTCCGCATATGGTTATTGAGTTGATATTTATTTATTGCTGGCATATGGTTATTGAGTTGATATTTATGTATTGTTGGCATATGGTTATTGAGTTGATATGGTTTCACGTGTTGATGTGGAGCAGAGCAGTAATATCCAGGAGCTCGAGTGAGAACGCGCGGACCGGCGTTCAGAGACACAGATAACAGTGTGTGGAGTTTCTAACAGCTCTGTGTGTTTCTGTTCTTAAACCGTCTCACTCGACGGAACTTGAAGATAGCGTATCACACGTGTCGAGATCATTTAGCTGTCAGTGGAGATCCTCTCGGCTCTCGGTGATCGGCTGAGTTTGCCTGCCGTCGGGATATGGACTGTCCTCAGTGCACTGCTGTCTGCGCTTCATGTGATCTCTGCGTGCTGCTGATATTATCATAACCCAGTGTCATGAATTCATTTCATTAAAAGTAATTCCATTTTGTAATATCATTTTCATCAAAGTAATTCAAAGTTTGCGAGGAATACGACGACATTGTGTATTCAAAAACAATCAACTTGTTAACGCGCGCCACCCACTGCATTTCTTTATAACTGAGTTAGTGTTCGGGATTTATCATGGATTTAAGGCCAGCAAAGCAACGTAGTACTTAGTTTTAATGTAAGTGTTGTGTGTGTGTGTGTGTGTGTGTGTGTGTGAAGCCGTACCTGCCTCCGTCCGCCAGCCGAGAGGAATACGACTCTGAGGAAAGCCAAGGCAGCGAGGACGAGGATGAGGATGATGAGGATGAAGGAGATTGTTTTGATGCCAACTCTCCACTGGCAGAACATTCCAACAGTAACTCGTACAGGTGAGCTGACTCATGATGATGTGAGGATGTTCCTGTGATGATGATGTGATGATGTGATGATGTGATGATGTGATGATGTGATGATGTTCCTGTGATGATGATGTGATGATGTAATGATGTGAGGATGTTCCTGTGATGATGTAATGATGTGAGGATGTTCCTGTGATGATGATGTGATGATGTGATGATGTAATGATGTGACGATGTTCCTGTGATGATGATGTGATGATGTGATGATGTAATGATGTGATGATGTGTTGTTCCTGTGCAGCTGGTGTCTGATGCGCTTGGCTATGGTGCAGATGGTGCAGTTCAACCTCAAGACCTTCTACCCAACGACAGGTCACGACCTCTTAGGTAATGAGACTCTTAACTCAAGCACACGTGTGATGTTTAGAGTGATAAAGAAGCATGCATGAATGAGAACGTGGGACGCGACGACGTGGATGATGCTAAAAACGGCTATTAAAGGGACAGTTCACCCAAAACTGAAAATTAGCCCATGATTTACTCGCCCTCAAGCCATCCTAGGTGTATATGACACTCTTCTTTCAGACGAACACAATCAGAGTTATATTAAAATATGTGTAACTTGTAGCGTCAGAAGTAGCGTAGTGTGAGTGTGTGTGTGTGTGTGTCAGGCGTCATGGCGTTGGGTAAATATCAGCAGTGCGTCGCATTACTCGCAGAAGTTGCGCTGTACACTTCAGTGGAATCCGTGTGTTCGCTTTGCCGGAAGCTAGTTATTTTACTTTATAAAGTTTTAAATATGGATATTTTTCTTACATAAACGCATCGCTTCGCTTTGGCATTATAAAACTTGGAAGAGCCAGGACATATATAACTAGGGATGCACCGAATCCAGATTTGTGGGGTTCGGCCGAATACTGAATCCACTGGTTAAGATTCTGCCGAATCCGAAACCGAATACCGAATCCTACTCTCATCCTCAGTCCATTAACACAGTAAACACATTAATGAAGTAAACAAAGTGGATTTTTCATTTTATTTTATTACTGTAAATAATAAACACTACTTTTACTTTTATAACTGTAAAAAAAAAGAAAAAAAAGAATAAGCAACATTATGCATTTTAACAGCGGCGATGTTGTGTAGCCTATTGTTTAGAGTCCTTGCCACCATGAGACAAATCGGCATTGCAAATTGAACATGTAGCTCGACTTGAATTGCCTTCTTTCACTGAAAGTACTGCCAAACAACACTTTTTCTGCTCACGAGTTCCATTTTCACTTTCTCACAGCCGACTGCATTCGAACGGTGCACCTACTGTAGCGAGTGGAAATAAGGTGTGGCCCCTTTAAGAACTGCGCGCTCCTGTTGAACTGTCTGCAGTCCGTATTGTATGTGCCGTGCGCCTCGAACACATGCCCATGTGTGCGGGTTATTTCTGTTTGATGCTCATTTTTACCCTATTTTGTTAAGTAACGCTGTGGACGGTAGAACGTGTGACAGACAGTTACACAAGTTCGATTGTGTAATAAAGTGCGAGTTGTGAGATGCCAATCGCCTCCGTGAGTCTGTCTGGCCTCTGCAATAACTTTAGCTGTGAGCTATCCCTATTTTTCTTCCTGACACAACGCGTTACACTACAGGCTTGTTCGACTTGAACCGGCGCTGCACAGACAGATCAGTTTATGACATCAAAGTCCCGCGAGAGCAATTCTAAAGCATGGAGCCGTCTGCTCTCCATCCGTTCACGCGGTACTTTGATGTCATTCACTGATCGGTGACTTCGACGTAGCGCGCGTAGTGCAAGCCTAGGGTTCGGTTCGGTGGAAAAAAATTCTGAGGTTCGGCAGAAACCGAAACCCTTTAAAAAGCCCAATATTCGGCCGAATCCGAATCCTGGATTCGGTGCATCCCTATATATAACTCAGATTGTGTTCGTCTGAAAGAAGAGTGTCATACACACCTAGGATGACTTGAGGATGACACCTAGTCAGTTTTGGGTGAACTATCCCTTTAAACACAATAAGCCATGATCATATTAGGAGTTACCTTTCTTTATTCTGTAGCGGAAACAACCTTCCAAATGATGTACAATTTCTTATATAGTGAAATGATTTTGGTCATAGTATGATGTGTGGAGTGTCATGTAATGTGTGTGTGTGTATGTGCTTGTGCGTGTGTGTGTCTGCGTGTGTGTGTGTGTGTGCGTGCGTGTGTGTGCCCGTGTGTGTGTCAGATCTGCCCGTGTGCTCGCCGCTGTGTCACGCGGCTCTGAAGACGCTTCAGCGATGGGAGACGCTGCTCCTCAAGAGGCTGGAGATCTTCGGAGGTCCTCCATCAAAGTTCATCTCCTCGCAGCTCCTGGACGAGAGTGTGTCGTCGGGACCGGCGCTCCTGCGGCACAAGGCCCTGTTCGAGCCCTCAAACACACCCTTCAGGTACGGGACGCAGCTCACGTGTGTGTTCACGCTAGGGCTGCGCGATTAACCGCAATGAAACCGCACAAAGGCTGCGAGTATTTATATATTGGCCACATATTCCCCACAGAAGTACGATCACACACTCCAGGAACTCCCTCTGAGCGTCACACTCTGTGTCTGAGTAAACTGAAGATTGAAACGCTCTGATTAAACATGAGTAATAAACACACGACTGCCGTATTCTGTGTGAGAAGCGCATCATCTCACAGGAGGACGAGCTCAACTGTCCTGATGAAGTGAGTTTGGAGTAAAAGCGTGTTAGTAAATGTCGTCTTTTGTTGGACAAGAGGTTCATAAATGCTTCTCATGAAAGAAGCGACTGGAACTCAGTGCTTTCCTGAGCCGTGCTTCACTGACACGCTGCACATAACTGATAATCACAGCCTTTGCCATTTCAGTATCGCGGTAAGCCGCGATTACATGTAAACTGCGATTAATCGTGCAGCGCTAGTGTGCTAATGTTAGCCCTAGTTGACGTGTGTTGTTTGTGATGTGGTTCTGCACTCAGGTCCCGCCGGCGCTCGGCTCTGCCCGTGAAACGACTCTGGCAGTATCTGGTCAAACAGGAGGAGGTTCAGGAAACGTTCATACGAAACATCTTCACTAAGAAACGAGATCTGAATGAGGTATTTGTGCTCGCCCCTTTTCCCAGAATGCCCCTGTTCCCCGTCAGCTGCCCCTTCTGATCGTCTTCGTAACGATCGCTCGAGTCTGTTGATCCAGTAATGCCTGTAATGTCATTAACATGTGTTAACTTGTGTTGTACGTGTGTAATTGTGTAATTAACCGTCTAATGGTGGACTGTGATGTGTGTGATTGCCCTGCATGTTCCATCGTAACTCTTGAATCAGGAGACTGACAGTGCGCTGCTGGATTCCACACACAACCAGGTATCTAACAGAGATATAGCAATAATCCTCATCCAGTCATGTGATCTGTGACGAAGGCTCTTTAAGGGTGTTTTCACACCGATAGATCGTTTGTTTTGTTCCGAAATGGGGACTTGGTTTGTTACAATGTTGCATTTTCTTCTTGGTTCGGTTCGCTTTCACAAGGCAACCTTTCAAAGCACTGCAAAAGATGCCTTTC